CATCGAAGTGGTGATTGGCCAGCGTATGAAGAGGCTTGTATGCGTTGCTGGAGTGATCTTTTCCTACGGTTTGATCGCAAAAATTATAAACGTGCCCCGTTAATGTTTTTCTCTGATGTGTTTATTGGATAGAGACTAACCATCCGATGGTAGATATCTTGCTACTCTAAGCGATTGCCCTGTAGAAACGGTAGCTTTTGTAATACCTAAAAATCCATAGGGAACATGATGCATCTAAGCATTCTTATTAAAGGATGTAGATGACATTCATAGACTCTACCAGCTTCATTCGGTCGAAATCCCTGTACAACCAACTAATAGCGAAATTGTGGTGCAATTTATATCGGCTTTATTGACTTTGCGGGTATGCTTTATTCAAGTTCTTCGATTTGGAAACGATTGATAACTTATTTTTCAAATTAATTTTCAGAATATCACCATTGTTAATAATTCTCTGTTATATCATGCACCAGAGTCTAAGTTGATTCGTCAAAGACGGGATAGCTCCACAATAACCGCAGATCGAGGGGAAAAATAGTTATTTGTATAGACATATATTCTACCCTGTAATTTAATTTATTTTTTTTTCTGCGTTAATAAAGCTGGCCCTGGTGGCCGATTTCGCTCATATTCATACATAATCGTGTTTAGTTTGCATGTGTATTTTTTGGGATTTTTCTGATTTTTATTTGTTTATTTTTTTTACGTAACATCAACTGTATCTCTTATCTACTATTATAAACAAGCTTCGCTTAAAATTTTTTCTTGGCGAAGTTGATTTCGACGTCGGGGAACCAAAATCCTGTCGCTGAAATTTTTGTTGCTCTGATTTCGCGTATGTGACATCGATGTCACTGGCGCAGTAATGACGTTTTCGGCGACGGGCCGTTGGTCATGTGTTTGCTTATATAAGGTTATCATTGTAATTTATCTATTTGTTTACTCTCTCCCCTACTATGAGCCGACAAAAGGAAAAACCGTATGGTTTCGATGGCAAGTACACGTTTTTCTGAAACTGACGCGACTTTTTACACTTACTTACCAATACAATATCAAATTTTCAGTCTTTAAGTCATATTTCACGTGGGCATCAAATCAGAACGTTATCCCTTCTTTGTCAGAATTTGTTCGTTTGAACGTTGACTTTGTAGCCAGATCATTTACTCAAACAAGTGACCTTCTAGGACTGGAGGGTGCATGGGCAAAGCGTTTCGATTTAACTGCAAAGATATTGAATATTGAGGAAAGTATAACTCAATCATTTTCTCCGTGTGGGCATTCGTGTCAAAAAATATCATCCTCGTTCTAGTAATGTTGTCGGGAGCTTCAGTCGGGTTTACTGACTGCGGTTGTTACATTCCTAACATTACGGACATAGTAGTGTTGTGGGAGCTTCAGTCGGGTTTACTGACTGCGGTTTTACATTCCTAACATTACGGACATAGTAGTGTTGTGGGAGCTTCAGTCGGGTTTACTGACTGCGGTTGTTACATTCCTAACATTACGGACATAGTAGTGTTGTGGGAGCTTCAGTCGGGTTTACTGACTGCGGTTATTACATTCCCAACACTCATCCCCATCATTATGTACCTCATCTCCCACCTCAATAAGTATACTCTAACAATTTTCAAATTATAAAAATACAGGTAGTTAATGACAAAGCAGATTGGTCTTGTATCATCGAAAGATGGCATATGGTAGGTTACAAAACTTCTATGGGCTTGTCAATATCACTGTGATTTAATATGCGATATTTGTCAGATGCAAATTGTAGAAAATTGCCGTGAAAAAATTTACACTTTGTATTCAAACGAGAACGAAAACTTTGGAAATAAATTGTTGAAAAACCATAAAAAATCAGAACTCGATACCAATAACTCTGCTGATGTGAATGCAACCACTCGTCCTAAAAAAAGATTTTTAGAATGTGCAGAAGAAAGTCCTCCAAAACACGTGGCAATTAGTACTGTGGATTTGAACCATTGATAATTTATTTGTTTTGATCCTACAAATTTATTTCTAGGAAGTAATAACTGAGTCTAATACAACACTCATCCCATCATCGCAAATTGATTATTATGAATTGATAAATAAAATCGCTATGCAAAATGATAATGGTAAGAAGCCCTCCGTTTTTTACCTTAGGTTCAGATGTTGTTATCTAAACTTGACTGTTCTTTGAAACTACTGTTTATTGTACAGATGGATTTCGAACTCCCCCTCATCAAATTGTCAGTAACATATACGACCCAGAAATATCAATTAATGAAAATATACTAAGAATATCTGCTATGAGTTTAGCCAAGCTGGACGAATCCAAGGTATTTGTTTGAAGACGCTAATTTTTGAAGCATATAAAAATACTCAATGGTTTGCATTAAACAGTACTTCGGGGAATTTATTCCGCATTTTATAAAATATAAGAACTCCCAGAAAAATAATCCATTTTCGTAAGTAGTTGAATTGCCTAGGATATATTTTACAATCTATAACTAATACCTTCTTAATATATAGGTTCACAATTGATGATGTAATGGATATTCGAGGAGAAAGCGGGTTTGCTAAATTTTTGTCAGTTGATGATTATATAAAATTACTATCAAAAAAACCAAAGAGGAGAGTTGAATTACCAGAAGGTTGGCGTAATGTTATTGAAGAATATTATAAGGTAATTATATGTTATCGTTTTATTCGTCATTACAGCAATTATTGATTCTATTATTTTATAGGAAACAACCGAAAGTGGATCGGTAAAAAATATATCTGATTGGATTCGTATTACAGAAGAACTGGGAGTTGTAAAAGAGGAAGATAACAGAGAACTAATAAAACTAAAAAAATATTTGAATCGAGTTATGCTTCCATTGTAAGTGCTTTCTGAGGTTTATCGTTATTAATTACTCATTGTTCCTAACATTTTATCTTGCAGGATCGAATCATTCTCAAAACAAGTCCCAGATATCAGTGCCCCAGACAGTAGTGAGCATCATTATTGGTCAGAATTTGGACATCGTTTTTTCTCAAGGGCATTACAAGAATTCGTAGATCTTGATTGGCGGGCGTAAGCATTAAGTTTAATTAAGCTATCATAATATTGTTTTCAAAACTATGTTATGTTAAATTTACCTTTATTTTAGCATGGAAGTTCCTGTACAGGCCTCAAAGTATAGAAAAAATTATGGACATAACTACATCATTGACACAGTGGTTGATGGAAAATATGCGGACTTGTTGGCGCGAATGTGGAAAACTGGTGAAGAAATTTTTGTCGGAGAACAAGCCGGACCTCCCACTCGATATGATCTAACAAAATTAGCAACCGACTCTTTTAAATTGTATAGAGAAATAAGAGATTGTTTAAATGTTAGAATTTTACGGGCCATGGGGAAGGGTGACGTGAATTACAATAATCGGTCTGTTTTCGGAATATTGGGCTTTCTTTTTGAAATCAAAATGCTCATAATGTGGAAAGATGGAGTATACGTATATGAAGAATATGGAAGTTTAAACATTGCTTCTAACCCAGGTCAAATTTCAGAGATGAAATCAGGTATATTAAGGCTATTGGAATTTATGGTAAGTTGCATTTTATAATTTTATAAATATCTTTTAATTGATCTATTCTAAATTAGTTCCGTTATAGATGATCATTAAAACCGAAACGAAAAATAATGTGGAAACTGAGTATAATGCTGATACTATACAGATTTTGAAAAGAAAATTTGATAAAATTATTCAGACGAAGCCATTGCCTTCAAAAATCGCGAAGAGATAAATATGTTAGATTTTGTTTGTATTTTTTTTAACATTGAAGACATGTCATAAATACTGTCATTTACCTATTAGGAAAAAATAAAAACCCAAGCTATATTTAGCGAAAATATGTAATTTTTTATAAAAATAATTTTGTTCCTCACGATTCGCAATGTTTCAATATTTTTGGAACTTTTGACGACGGGCCGTCGCCGAAATTTTGATACTTTAGTTAGACATTTTAAATAAATAACTGGACATATATAAACTAGGTACTAAAACATGCAATCCGAGGTTGATTCATTAAAACAACGAATTTCTGAGCTCGAAGCCAAGAATGCCGAGCTTTTAAAACAGGTTACGGAAGAAAGCACCAAACGCGAAGCTGAGAATGTTGAGCTCAAAGCCAGGATCGCCAAATTGGAACAGATCGCAGAAGAAAATTCTGAGCTTAAAGATAGAATCACGAAATTGGAACAGAAACAGACCCAGGCAACTACCAATGAACAGGAAGTATCTCCTACAAAAGATATTTCGCCAATTATCGAGAGCCATTCTTATGAGAATAAAATGTTGCTAACCAATCAGCATGCAATGCTCTTATATGGAGGTGCATGTAATATAGGCGCTCTTCAGAATTATGTTCTTGTTTCTTTATAGGTTGTTCTTTTATAAAAAAAATTTACTAATAAATTGCATCGGTCCCATGAAATAATGTTCTTTATGAGAGGTTGTTCCTTTATGGAGGGTTCTTTTATGGAGGGTCGACTGTATTAATTATTAATCTTTCAAAATTTGGTGATAAAAATAGGATGTTTGGTAAATATTCAGATTGTGAGAAGCCTACGGCTTCTGCCTGTGGCCGATGCTAATACTAATACAGGTACTCATGCACAAAATCTTATTAGATTGCGGGCTAAAGCTGCCCATAGAGATGCGCTTGCCAATTTTTAATAGAACTCTTGTCTTTTTCCAATCAAAATAGATATTGGGTATTGTAATGACTGTCAACCTACTAAATTTCCCGGCAGAGTAGAATTATTAGATTTAAATACTTTTTAATAAGCTAGACGCAAAATTGTTTTCTGTTATATTTTGTATGATTTAGATAAGTTTTATATGACTTAGTTTAGAGGGAATTGGGACAAAAATTTTCGTATAATTTATTTTCTCTTTCGATCAAGACCAGGGAATTGCTTTTTCTGTTAGCTTTCTTTTGGCTTGCACTCTTTTTTTGGACTAAAAAAGGGCCGGATAGCCTTTTGTTTTTATTGTAATTTAGTAAGCTAGCCCGTGTGGAACTCGTTCTTGACTAAGGAAAAGTTGGGAAATTTTCCGTATAAGTTATTTTTTTGGTATAATTTATTTTGAGAGAATTGGAACAAATTTTTGTATGGTTTATTTTTGTATGATTTAAAATAAATATACTATTTAATGAACTAGCTTTCAGAGAATTTATTCCTGATATATTAATATTAATTTTTTGTATGACTAAATAAATATAACCAAAAGTTAATATAGAGATTAAGAATCTAAGGCTTTTAGAAGCATTTCTAAATATAGTAAAAAACAATATAGAAATTAAAATAATTTGGCAAAAGCAGATTTAATCAATATTTAAGATTTAATTTAACACGCAAGCATTTCTAACTTTGGGTGCCGATTAAGATTCCTTAAATCTTTGACCAGAGTATATTAATATTTTAAAACTTAGTTTTAAACGTCAATTAAACACTTGATGGCAGGTAAACCTGTCGCTAATATATAAACTCAATTCATCCGTTGTACAAGACAGTTAAATGTAATAACCTACTTTCCTTTGCGATTGAGCCTTTGTTTGTGGAACAAATTGCAGAGGTGATAATCGCGTTTAGCAAACTCATGCAAATTTTAGTTAGACAAATAGTATATCTTACTATAAACATCTTATTAAACTTATTAAGAGCAGTGATCTTAATAACATTACTTACACATAAATTCTCCCCCAATAGTACGTTATTACACTCGGTAATGTCAAAATCCGACTGCCCGATACGCACTCGGGTAAATATTAAGCATCAATGACCGTTTTACCGTGACCAATATAAATGCCAAGTTTTATGAATGGATGGGCAACGTACAATCTTTCCAGAATCATATTTGGTTTTTCCAAACATTTCTTGTTTTGTGTTTTTGCTTCTCATTTCTACTAATAGTTATATTTAATATTTACAAATAAAGCTATTGGTTTCTTATTAAATACGTCATAGTTTTCATGTTTGTACGCTTTTTAACAAGAGACAATGAATAATCCAAAGAACTTGTTGAGAACTCTACACATTTATGGATTGAGATTGTCGGAAAAAGGAGAACTTTTAAGGTAAATGACAACGATATAGTGGCATGAACTACAGTGTTGCGATAATCTTGTAAAACTTTTATGGTTAGCAAACGTTAATTGGAGATAGCCGAATAGCAAAAATTGAATAAAAAGAGAATCTACAAAAAGAAGAGGGCTTTGAAAATTAGAATACGTGTATAAAAGAATTTTAGAAAGAAGCAGTCACCTGCTAAACTTAAATTTAGAAAACGGCTTTCCCAGTGATGCAAAGTCCGAATCACAACCACGGCGAAGCACTTTCTGTATTGACGGGTAATGATAAAAATAGTTTATGGAGATGAACGTGGCCAAGCTGTGGCGTCATGTTTACTCTGTCTAAATCTGTGCACTATAATGATTGCTGCATATATTGCATATCTTGTGTTGAAAAATGGTAGATATTCGTCCAACTTTGTACAGGGAAGGCAAGGGCATGGGGGCACTGACTGGTAGACTGAAGCAAGTGTCCTGCATATGTGAACGATAAATGGAATAACAATAACAATAGAGTAGAACTATTTTCTATATGGGAAAAATCAAATACGTTAATTAGTTAACAGTTATTAATATATAATAATTATTAATATTAATATTCTTATTTTATTATTAATTAAATTAATATATACTAGTTGAATATAATATAAATAATATAAATAATATAAATAATATAATAATAATATATATATATTGTAGTAAAAGGATCTATTCTACTATGACTTTTAACTGACTTGTGATTTATCTTGTGATCTATTGTTTTACCATTGACCCTTTTTCTACGTCATTTTACAGGTCGCATGAGTAACCGTTATACTATTGTTTATAGCATTATGACATACGTTAACATTATTCTTCAGTTCTGATTTATCGGGGGGCATCTATCTGATTGTTGTGCAAATGATAATGTGACCAATGATCGTCATTGATTAGCTACAATTATATCAAACCAGTATCTAACAAACTCCCATATCGATATACTCCTTTTTTTTTCTCACCAAAATCGGTATTTCGATCATTTCCATTTGAGACGCAAAAAAAATCTAAAGATGTTGTAATCAATGCATACGGTACGCTGACTAACATAATACAGACACCGTATACAGCAATAGCTCATGTCATCATACGAAAAGGGGGATAAGAACTTGTGATAAGATAAAAGTGTATAACTATAATAGACTAAATTTACTATCGAACGAAAGATATTAACAAACCGACCATATACCCCAATTTCATCTTGTTATTTATTTATATAGTTTGTATACCTTATATTATTAAGCGCTCTCGCACAGATATACCGATTGATATTGGTCACATTTCATTTATTTATGTTACTCACACACACACACACACACATACACATACACATACACATACACACACATACAACTTTAAATGACAATCAGCAAGTGAACAGCAGCGGTCGACATTACTTCAGCCTCATTTCATCAACAAGGCACTGAGCATCATATCACATACCTACACAGTCATTCTTCTTTGCCACGTTTTTTGATGATAACAAAAGAACAGTCCCCCCTCAAGTCTATGAATGCCTCATAGTATGATGCAATATACACCGTCTTGTCCAATAAACGAAGTAATCATAATAAACTATAAATAACTATGTAATCTTGATAACCATTAACGGTAAGCCGATTTCCATTGTACCATCCTCAAATAATGATTGGTGCTTCTTGGCCATTATCGACATCAAAATGCATTATTTAATTAGACAAACTTTTTTGTAATGACATATGAGCGATAATCCATCAAAAAGAGGGGTGATGTTTGCTGAAACGGGAAATCTTCCGAAAGAGAGTTCAAAAGAAATGAAATAAAACATTGTATTTAATACCTAAAACACCTAACCTACCAAGACCAAGCGAACGAGTAAATATCTTAAGGTTAATTTGCCCTTCATTTCCGGGTTATTATTTTTTCGTGAGAATTAATAAAACCCCCCGCTCTTGTATACATCATCGAATCAAGTTGTCAGTTACACTATCACTGGAATGATAACAGAAGATTTACACCACTTGAACATTATCCATACTGACGGGAAAAAAAGTGTCAAAGTTTTGCTGACAGATTTAACAAATAGATGACTGGTTTAAAGCACAAGCATATGAATAGCTGCACAGATTACACAATCTGATGACTAAACTAACACCGATAACGGTAAACGACTTGTCCGATATAGATGATAGTAAGCATAAGACTGCACTCTCTTTGTTCTGTGTATTGTCAATGAGAGGATGAACGTTTCATCTATACAAAGACGTTTCTTTCGCTCTCTCTCGCCATCTCTCTCGTTATCTCGCTATTGCTATCGCTATCGTTACGAGATTGCGATTTAGACAGAATGTGATCGACCAATCACTGTCATTATCACATTCTAATCAGCTTCTCACACACACATCTCAAAACGGTAGCCGAACATGACATACGTGCACTATTAGGTAGATGGTAAGTGAAGTGAGGTCCCGACTCATTGTCACACCAGAACAGTTTGGACTAGTAACATTGTTGCAGACTTGCTCGGTTGTAAAACGATAAGGGATGTCTACATCCATGACTACCCCCCAAAACCTTCTCTATACACACCCTGAATCCTCGTCTTGCAGATTTACAATAGTCCCGTATAAAAAAATTTTACGAGCGATGGAATACATATTAAGACCGCACCTTACCTCGCTCCTATGGAAAATTTTTTTATTTCTGCCTTCTCATCGTACCCATTAAAAAATTTTCTATTTTTTTTTTTTGCAAACTGATTTATGCTTGCATATTATCCACAACTTATTTAGTATTGGACGCCCATCGAAAAACTCAAACAATATCAAGTCAAAGAAAATTTCATCCTCCGCAACTGTTAATTTGTAACTCGGCAGTTTTATATACATACATACATACACACATATATATAAACACTCCTGCCAGTATTCTCCATCTCTGTGAATATCTGTGACAAGCAAGCGAGAAATTATACAACACAGTACAGTAATAGCAACAAGTTTGAACAAAGCCTGCAACAACTAGTACAACTAAAACTACAACTACAACTACAACTACAACTACAACTACAACAGCAATAGCAACAGTAAGGCGGAACAGGAACAGTAATAGACACTTTGTACATTAGCAAACTGACAATATTTTCAAAAAGGAAAAATGGTACAAAAGCAGCCAAAGAAAGAAGTTGCAACCAACGCACCATACTTTTACCCTAGCTTTTCCCGCTATAATTATCCAAAATTTGGCACAGACGACGAAACGTACGCAGAACCTGCATTCAAGTTCCCTTCGTGGGATGACGGACTCTCCGGTTACACAAAGCGTACATACCCACGGAAGAACTCGCATCGTTACGAGGATTTCGACGTTCAGTCAGACGAGGAAGACGACATTAAAGAGAACTATGGACTTTCTTATAATGACAAAGACCTACAAGAAGAGGAAGAAGAAAAGGAAGACGGACTCACAAAGTGCGATGAACTACACGATGATATTAACTCAGCTAAATACGACGCTCAAGCAGATTACGATCGTTTCAAATCCCACTTTTCAGCCTTGTCAGATGAGCTTCGCGCACTACAACAGGAAATCGAAGAAACGGAACGCCGATATCTAACCCGCAGATGGGATGCTGACGACGAATCCGAAGCGGGCTCTTTTTCCGAATCATCAGTTCTGATATCTGGCTTTGGAGTCGGACCGAGCCCAAAACGTTCATTGACATCGTCACCGACGCCGCAAGCAACTTCCGAAGTGTCTGTTGGTGGATTTGGATCGAGTTCTCGCAGGATACTCTTGTCTTCCCCGTCAGCAATGCAAGCAGCAACTAGCCCATATCGTAAACGGTCTACATCGATTAAATCTGGTTATGAAGAGGAAGAAGATGATGATTGTCTAAGTGGCCCGGGTAGTCCTAATGGACGTCGTTGTATGGGATTGGACGATGGATGGACACAAGAGAGAGTACATCAGAATGAGTGGATACGGTGTTGATGACTTTTTTGTACAT